AGCCCTCAATGTTCAAGATGCATTTGTGAATGCAACAATGCCGAATGGCATTGGCTCAAGACTGGCTGGACGGACTGCCTGGTTGCATAAAGAAGTGCTTGTGATTGTGTGACTGTGGAAAGGGATTGATCTCGTGTTAGTTTGCTCTCACTGCCAAGATTGTAAAGTGGAATTTTGCACCCTCCATCCCTCAAATAAAGGACATGAGTCATCATGAGTCCAATGTACCCCTGAATGTTCACGATGCATTTATGACTGCTACGATGCCGAAGCTCAAGATCACGGAGGACTGGCGTGGTCGCATAAAGGAATGCTTGTTTGATTGCGTGTATCATTGCGGAAAGTGATTGATCTTGGTTGCTCGAGATTGTTTATATTGGTACTGTTGAATTTTGCATGGTTTCGGAGCTGCGTGAAAGAGAGTGGACTTCGAAGTGAGGGGAATTGGTGGTGAAATCAAGCTGTCCCCGTCTCCACCGCTCCAGTGTATCATGGTGAACTGGAGGAGTGGGAAGACTGGCCATGGCAGCTGAAGCGAATTTTCGAAGTGTACAACTCGATTGCCAAACTGATGTTGAAGGAGCCAACACTGTGATCACTGATGATCTGAGTGAAGCATGTGACATCCAACAGACACGATTCCAAACGAATCAGTTGACACTGTTCCCACGACATCACGACAACTCGCATACATGCTTGGGCGGATCACTGATGGTACAGCAAGGTCTAGTGGTCTATTGTTCGAAATGAAGACACAGAGAATGGCTTCGAGATCTGGCGACGATTGCACAAAGAGCTGTCATTGCCCGAAAGAGCTCGAGCCACAAATCTCCTGAATGAGATCATTGGCTTCAAGCTCAGGAATGATCATTTTGAGCGTGATTGGGTTGAAGCGGCGGTTCCATCTTGTACTGGGGTCCCCTCGGTGAAAAAGGCCAAGTTCGTCCCCGTAGCCTTCTGCGATGTTGTGTGAGCTGGAGCTGGGCCTTTGAGAGGGGAGTTCCCCTGACGCCGTGTCGTGGACTGGCGCCGCAATCTGGAGTTATCTTTCTTTAGCCAGGGGTATGGGCAAAGGGATTGCTGCCCCCGTTATCTCTCTCTCTCTCTCTCTTTGCTTTGCTTTGCTCGGGGTAGGAGTTAGGGTTTAACCCCTAACCCGCGCCGTGGCGCTCTCTCTATCTATCTCTCTCTCGCTCTCTCCCGGGCGTCAGGGCCGCCAAAGCCCCCGGGCTTTAAGCCCACCCGATCGTTGTCGGGAACGGGGGGTGCAGAACAAGTATAGCCCATCGTGGCACTACAGATAAGCTGGATACGATGACGGGAAACGATGAGCGTACACTTTCACTGACAAAGACGAGTCAGAAGACTTTCCACGTACAGTATATATTGCAATAAACCACACTCCATGGATAACAGGAGGAGGAATATGCGCGGCATGTGTTCCCCCAAGTAGGGGTGGGAAAAACGTTTGCACGGAATTGCAACTTCGGAAGTCCCAGCACCTGTCATATGCAAGATCGCAGCAACATTCACAACAGGACTAAGGGCCCGGCAAAACGTTTGCAGACATGTTAAGTGCTGGACGTCGAAAGCTTGTTCACAAATCTGAAAGGAGATCCCCCCGGAAGTAGCGTAAAACCTAATTATCAACTCAAAAGGCAGGTGGGTTGAAAGAGTAGGCCGAAGCCCGCAAATAAAAAAGTTGGGGTCCAGGTGTTGCAAGTCGGCAACTACCTAGAGGGAGTACAGGTTTGCGATGACATCTGCCGAAGCAGGCTACAATACAGTTGAAGAACAATGCTTCACTTCCCCCTTGCACAGGGAGGTCATGCAAAAGTTTGGGGTACAAATGACAATCTGGCTTTTATGGGTCAGCGGTGGTATGCTCTAAGTACATGTCGCATTCATGCACAACACAAAGAAAACCAAGCACTCAGCAGAAGGTCCTGAACCAAAGCAGCCTTAAGCATTCACCCGCGGTGAAGAAATATGCAGAGCGAATTTTCTACCGCTCACTTGTCCTCTGTACTTCGCTAGCGGCTGTTGGTTCTTTCTTGGCGTCTTCGAAGACATCGGTGGGCACGGTAGGCGAGTTTGCTTTGTATCTTCCAGGCCTCTTTGAAGCGGCCACTGTAAACTCGTGTGTGGGAGGTGAGCTGGTTCCCCCACTCGCGGTGGGTTTCCCCCGCACGCGGTGGTTGTCCTCTGGGTGGCAGTCTTCCGTCAGGCCATTCGGAGTGACAGCAGCAAGCGAACCCAGGTCCACCTCGTCGTTCTCCTCCCCCTGCTCCGGAGCGGGACTAGGTGTTTTGGGAGCTTCGTCCCAATCCTCTGTGTTAAGCCATTCCGGGGTTGAGAGGTCGAAGATCTCGTCGCTGTACTCTTGCGTCGCTCCGGCTGCGGGAGCGTCTTCCCCCCATTTTCTCAAGCAGGCTTTGTGTACTTAGTACTTTGTATATCCACCCCCAGTCCGTGGCAACTCGGTCAAAGAAAGTTCGAACTCTGCAGCCATGGGCACGTAGATAGCGGAGGGTTACGACACGTTTCTTGTAGAGTTCCTTGCTTCGGGTACGAAGTTCATGTTCTCGTTGAAGTTGTTATCCTCTTCGACTTCAGTGTGGTGTCTCCCCAGCTCCTTGTCATAGTGCTTCGCTCTCCACGTGATTTCGACTTGGACGATCCCCCTCAATCTGGCACGCATTGACGGTCCATCCCACCGGCCCCCGTCTCTGCTGTGCTTGGAGCGGGGTCGCTTCTGGCGATCAGCGAGCGGGCTCCCCCCCGAAGGGAGGGCGCTCGATCTCTCGTGGGCGTCGTTGACGGCGTCCCGTCCCCCCTTGGGAGCCTCCTGTGCGGGCCTGTAGCGAGTGTTGTGTAGCCCTGTCATACCATGGAGTCTGCATTGTGGGTCACTACGCACATGGTTTTTGCGAAAACCTTTTGCGCAAATCCCCCGTGCTTTGCGGCACACACGGCAGGTCTTTTGCGTCGAGGAAGAGCACGAAGTGCAAAGGTCACCTACTTGTTGGACTGCGATGGCTCGGGCGGCGAGGAATGATCCCCCTGGGGCCACTCATGGCCACTCTGATCCCGTGGCTGCGGCGAAAGGCTCAAGCCTCCCCCCGCTCAGAGGCACGTCCACCCAGCAGACCTGCTGCTCCCAACAGCGGGCCCACCGACCGCCCTGGAGCGCCCCCCGAAGGGAAGCGGCGGGTTGACTTGAGCCAAAATGGCTACTCTCTCCATCTCTCTCTTTCTTTCTTTCTGCCTATCTCTCTCTCTCTCTGCTTTGCTTTGCTTGGGGTAAGACTTGGGTAAGAGCCGAGGGCAGACCCCCCGACCGGCGCTCCAGGTCGAGGGGCTTGGCTGTACTGTGGTCTCTCGGACAGGATGGGTGACCCTCACTGTACGCCTCCGTGGGGGCAGGCTGCGAGTACCGCATTGCAATTTCGAGGGAAGGAAAGTGAGAGGTGTGCTGAGGGGAAGAAAGACATGCTTTATTCTCTCTCTGCCGGGTGCAGGGGTAGCGTGCGACGTGCAGGCACTCGGCCCGTCCGACCACTCGTCGGCTTATTGCGTGGTCAGCTTTAAGGTACTCCAGATTGTGGCACCGAGCAACCTAGTGGGCTCTCGATTTCCGAGCTGTTACCGCCGTAAACACACGACTTTCTCTTCTGGACTTTCCATAGGGCTTGGGGGACGGTGTCAGGAAAGGAAGTGCGTAGGATGACCATCTACGGCTACATATGTTCTCCCGAGCGGTTGGACACCTGCACGAATTTCCCTTAGTATGAACCTGTTTGCAGAGAAATCTCTCAAGAGTATCAGATGCCAGAAGACAGTGATCCCCCGTCTCGTTCATATACTTTCAGACGAAGGCTTAACAAGACCATGTCCATCTCTCTCTGGTGAGGTGCGAGCTCTGAGTTGAGTCTTTGAGGGCTTGAGTCGCCTTTGTACGGCTGAAGTCGTTCAACAAGTCGGGGAAAGTCACCGGCTGGCTTGGCAAAGACTTGAAGATCTTGGTCTCAGTCTGCGATCGCTTCTGCGCACTGGGGGGCCTCAGCGGAACAAGAGGCTGGGACAGCCAAGAGCTCTCGGTTCTTGCCTGCACCATTCTGCCACCACGGCCGGCTAGCCTCACTTTCCTCTCGAAGGCCGACAGATGCTTCCTCAAAGGTATGGTGGCTTCGAAAGAAGACTGCGCAACGTAGTGCTCGGAGGACTGTGGACGAAAATTGAGCTGTCTGTTGTTGCATATGAAGCATCCGAGAGGTGCGAAATTGATTGCCAAGCTCCCTGTTGTCGACATTTCCTGCCCCATGCGAAATGTCATGGCGGCAAGAGCCTGCTGCACAATGTCCTTGCCAATCTCTAAAACTCTGGCAACGGCTGAGACTGAATGCTTCACTCGAGGGCAGAGTTCCTTCTCAACAGCCAAACTAGAGACGTCCAAACCATGCCGACAAAAGAATTCGGCCACGGGCGCAAAGGCAACCTGCGATGGCTCAGCCCTCAAGAAGCCGAAGGTGCCCAAGCCAGGACAGAATATGCGTTTGCCGCCTTCCATCTCCTTGGAAATCGACAGTGCCGTGCTTTCCCAAATGCGCAAAACCAGTTCTGGCCCCTTCAGCGGATGCCCCACTGCTTGTGCAACACTCTTGGAGCAGTCATATGCAAGATGCTTTGCACCGAGATCTGCATCGGCCTCAGTCAAATCCACTTTGGACCTGGGAGATGGAGACGGACTAAGCTCATCTGCCCGAGCAGTAACCAATCTGCTTGGGCTCCCCCCCTCTCTCTCGAGGTCTTGCGACACCTGGGACTGAACACTGGGACTTCCATCGCTGTCGGTCGACATATGTAGCCATAGAGATCAGAACATCGGCGCTCGCTACGATACCCATGGTGAGACATCCTGAAGCCAAACACCGAGTGCGTTGGGAGGGAAGCGGGAAGCAGGAACAAGGAACCCTGGAACGGGTGCGCAAACCGAAGCAAGACTCTGAACGACCAGTACGTCATGGCCGCCATGGCCCATCGTGTCAAAGCCCTGCCATGCCCCTGCACACTCGGCCTGAAACGGCGGCCACAAACATGCCCCAAGCCGGCATGTGGCATGGGAAAGTTGGTGCTATCATTGCTCTCGTTCCAGGCTCCAGGACTGAATCTGTGCGGCGCACTTTGGCGATTAGTTTCGCACACTGCGACGAGTCAAAGACATGCAAAGGCAACAAGAAGCTTGCTACGCAAGGAGAACTACGATGCAGTTTATGCAAACCGAAATGGGAATATTTACAACACAGGATACCATTCGGTGCTGCGGACTAAAATGTGAAGACAGGCTCCTGGCTTCAGGCTTGCGTCGTGGCGGGCGTGGTTTTCAAACAGAACTCTCGTGCTACACTGCCTTCCTTTCGCAGCAGGTCAGAAAGTCAGACAGAGAAGGAAACTTAAGCCCCTGGCCACGAGACTTTGACGCAACGCAGCAGCCCGTGACTTTCCTTGCCAGCCAGCCTTATCGCCATGCAGCAACAGGATGCTTTCATGCCGCTAATGGCAGCTCGTTACCTGCGCTGTTTTCTGGCCAATCTTGATATCCAGAAGCCGCAGCCTGCAGTGCAGAAATCGACGACTCCAAGTTTTGCATCTTGCAGGGCCCGGGTCACCGGCTTGGAGCATCCACACCGCAGATTCCGCATGACCTGGCGAGGGGAAGTCTCCCATCCTTACGCAGTTCGCCAGTTTGAGAGGGGTCCCTTCGATCCCCTAATGACTTCGGCATCTCCGGCCGAACATGTAAGCAAGCTGCTAGGAGTTCATTTCGCTTCTCCTCCGATGGCGTGAGCTCCTGCACGGCTTGAAGAATCTCAAGTCTGCAGCTTCGGCAGGTGGACTAAAATTAGAAAGACCTCCAGCCATGTCATACGTGTCATTCTGTCAGATTCTGCCATATTAGATCGCCTGCAAACCGAAGGCCCCGGGAGGCACTCCATCAGTTCAATTGGATACGAGGCCCCCGAACCGGGCGGCTACTGACTAGCTCAACGGCACTTGCTGATTTCACTTGTGAGATTTTCTTGCCCGTGATTGCGTCAAACGCAGGTCCTCCGTGCAGCTGAGAACTCCAGCATATTCCAGAGTGTAGCCTACACGGCTCACGGACGTCTGCTGCAACTGTTGGGATATGGCACGCACGATGCGTCAACAAAAGCGCGCTCTTTGCGACTCCGAGCCGTCCGAGCCCTGAGCCAAGAAGTGGCTCCAAGCCGCTTCCGTGTCGAAGACTCAGAGCCTCCACGCGAACCCGAGCATCGCTCGGAGGCTGAGCTCTGCTCCGCTAGACAGACAGCTGCTCCCCTATACGACACTTAGATTGCGGTACAAGTTTGTTTGTGGCAAGCGCGTGCCATCTGCACCTTTCTCGCTACGGGTGCGAAGGTGCAGCCCGCAAGGGAGCTCCCTGGACCGCACCCGATGGCCCAAGACCGGTCCTATGTCTCTTGCTGCAATCGGTCCACAGATTCTGTCTATAGAATCTAGTCCAGAACCCATCCGCAGGCCGCTCTTTGCCGCTCAAATGCAGTGGCTGGTACCTAACTACGAGTACTTACCCATCAGCCCGTATACGAAGCGCCTCCTCATAGAAATTCACCTCATCCTCTGCATGGCTCAGGTCCTTGCCTCACACATTGACATGCCTCTGAGTGTGAATATGAACTACAACCCGCGCCGAATCCGACGAACCTAAGACAGAAGATCCATGGCATCAGAAACAAGCACACTGATCCGAAAGGCTACAAATGCCGGGAGTGCTGCCAATAAAGTAGTCCACGGGCCTCACAAAATCCAGGGCACACCATTCGACTCGGAGATTCCGTTCTTAGAGCTGGGCCGTGCAGCAGTGGACTCTTTCAGGCACAACCTGATGCCAAAGCAGCCGGTGCGCAGAATTTAAGCTTCAAGTTTCTCTGGCCACCGCGGCGCTTGACAATCAGGAGCTGCTAGCTGCTAGTCTTAGAGATGTGCTGGCATCACTTTGTGATCATGTGCGGCGTGCTGCACGCGTGCTCTGGAGTCGGGGCTAGAACTACCCCTCGCCGCCTTTGCAAAGGCGGGCAGAAATATATGCCCAGCGAAATTTGCATGTCAAAATGCGGAAAAGGCAGCATGCAGCGGACATGTTGTTTTCTCAAAGAAATGCCGAGTCAAGCGAACGACCAACCGGACGCATTCCCCCCGAAACAAACAAAACGCTCACCGATGCCCCCCGCCCGTGGTTACCCGTTGAGGACTTTCGGAGCCCGTTCGTACCAGTTAAAATTTAAAAGCAGGGCCCCAGGCCAAAAAGAGAAAATCGAGAAGCATCCCGAAGTGGAAAGCATGAAGCAAAAGCAGCACGGCAAGCGAAGTTCAAAATCAAGTGCAAAGATGAGCATGTTTCAAAAGGAGAAAAGTGCACAGCGATTTTCAAGCCTTGCCTTCCGGGCTTTGACTTGAGTGGTCCAAACCCAAACGTTCAAAAACCGAAATCCACAGAACGGCACCGTCATCAGGAAATGCATCCCTTGCCAAAAATAGCACCGATCAACATGAAATCGGTGCATCATGAAACTCTACACTCAGGGTCATTGCAACAATGTTGCGTGCCGGCTGCTTGGCGTTGGCTGGAAGCGTCTCAGTTTCGGCCCTGTGCCCCAACCCAATTCCGCGATCTGAGTGCTTCACCTGAAGAACGCCGCGCTGCCGCCGGAGACTCCAAGTCTCTCAACTTTGGAATCGAAGCGGTTGGGACTCAGTGGAATCACTGGCAGCACGTATACTGAACTCACCTGTGCACGGACACCAGCCGAAATCTCAATCAGCACCCCACAAAAACCCGCTGAATCCCTGAATGTTCCGAGGTCTCCACTCCACGCGGGTTAAGTGGAGCCCAGCCTGCCGAAGCCGTCTGGGCACCGACAAGATTGCCATGCTGCTATGGGCCTGGGCATCGCCGGGTTGCCTGCTCACTAGCAAGGCCTGCCAAGCACAGTGTTCGAAGCTGCTGCGACCACACTTCCACTCTCAAGTAGAACGCAGAACCCGATCGGACCACTTTTGAACTTGCGCTGGCGGAAACTGGAGGCTGTCCCTTCGACGAAATCCTCCATATGACCTCAGGCCTTCAGGCTCACACAACCGAGTCTGACGATGTCAGAAGTGGTGCAAGTATTATTGGCAAAAGGGGAAAACAAAAACATCCCGAAATATCAATGAACAGATTGAAAATTTTTTGCATGGGCAGGAGGCTTGACCCGGCCGACATGGCGACTGCGCTCGGTCCATTCAACTAGAGAGTGGTCACTGCCTCCTGCAATGAAACCTTCCACCCACTCGAGGGGCGTTTGCGGAGACGCCGAGCTCTGAATGCTTCCTTCCTGTCCACTCGCCTTTGATTACAGTTCGGCGCCTCAGAGGGTGACATTGGCACGCCATCAAACCATGGCCTTTCTGTTTTGAACGGGGACATGCCCTGAAGCTGTCAACAACAAAGATGAGTAAAGCTGGAGCACTCGAAGTACAGCTTTCTGGCCAGAAAAGAAGGCGGCTGAAGCGACAGAGATGCGCCAACCAATGCAGCTTCAACATTCCAGGCAGAGCAAGCTTTGCCTGCTCCCAGATTATGACGTTAGTCGTCCGTTTGCTTTTGTTTTTGCCTCTGCGTGCCCGTCTTTGTCACGCCGGGCGACTGTACCAACTGTTCTTGTGCTGCCCCTTGTGGCAAGAAAAGGTCTGTGCCCATCTGAATTGCAACAATGCAGAGCCCTGCGGCTGTTCACAACGAGGAACTTCCGTCCCCGGAAATCCTGCCTGGCAAGACTGGCTGGGACATGCTCTCGCTACCATGCATTTCTGAAAAACAGCTACTGCTTTTCACTGACACTGACGATGCCAAAAGATCAAGGCGATGATGACCGTGATGCTTCTTCTGTGCCACAGATATGGAATCTGAAAAGGAAATTAAAGGCATTCCCTTCAGGCCCATCATTCATACCAGGAGAAAGCCGCAACAGCAGCTACAGCGCAGCAGCAGCAGCAGCAGCAGCAGCAGCAGCAGCAGCAGCAGCACCAGCAGCACTGCCATCACGATTCTGGCCACTGCCACCTACCACCATCGACAAGGACACGGACAAGGAAAATCACAACAACAACGACGACGATGGGGACGACAATGGCAATGGCCACCGCCACCGACACCACCACAACCACCACAACCACAACTTCAACCACAACCAGGAGGACGACGACGACGACGACAGCAACAGCAACAGCAACAGCAACAGCAGCAGCAGCAACAACAACAACAACAACAACAACCACCATAGCCAGAACCACAACCACCACAACCAACATCAACAACCCCAACCCCAAGGGGCAAGGGCAAGGACGAGGGACAATGGACAAGGGACAAAGGACAACGCCAACCACAGCAACAGCACCAGCACCAGCACCAACAACACAAAGGAAGACAGCACCAGTACCATGATCGTCATGATCAGAACCATGCTCGTTGTAGATGCCCTCGTCTTTCGCATCAGCACACGGGCAGCTCGGACGCCTCGCGGCTTCTGGTGGCCACTATAACCTGCTGGACGCCAAATCCAACTCTGTGCGCAGGGCCTCGAACGCTGCCACAGCTCAGGGCTTAAACGACAGAAGGTGGCGACGACACGTGCTTCTTGTGGCATCTCTGAGCCTGGAAGTAGTTCCTCTTGTCATCCGGGCAACCGTCCATGTACAGGTAGTAAGCCCGCGTGCGAACGCGGTCCTGAATTTTGCCGATCGTTCTGGCTTCGGGCTTTTGCGCTCTCTGTGCCAGCAGCGCAGCTCACCCACCGCTGCAGGGTTTCGGTTCGTGCTGCACAGCAACCGCGCGAATGTATTGCGACAGCTATGTGTGCGTGCGGTTGTATGTGGGTATGCAGGCACGTAGATATGTAGGCATGTCTGTAGATCGGTAGGTGTTTCTTCACAAATTTCTTGCGAATTGCTTACCATCCGATAGGGTCTTCCGTCGCACAGGGTCGTCCGCTAGACAGGGCTCTTGTCAACAAAGCCTGTCGGTCCTTCTGCTAGACGGAATCTTCTGTTAGACGGGGGTCTTTTCCCCTCAGTCAGAATCTGTGGCAGATGCACAGTAGCACGAACTCACGCCATCTTGGTGTGCCTAGCCCGACTACGAATTAGGAGCTCTGCTTCTAGATGGGTTTGACCTGGTTTGGCTTTGTTTGGTGCTATTACTTGTGAACTTTGGAATGTATTGGGACTATTTGAACTATTTGCATTGATCTATATTCACTTCACTTGTATCTTACAAACTTGCATACACATATCGATTCGTCTATGTACCGCACAAGTATGTGTCAGTATTGCCCTCGTGAAAATGCCGCACTGCTTTACAATTTTGCTTTGGCAAAAGCAAAACTTAGGGACAGCATAGCACTAGTGAGGTCCCGGAAGCCTATGCTGCTGTGCTGTCCCGAAAATTTGGGCGTCGGACCTTTTGAAACGCCAGTGCTCAAAGGTGCTGTACAGTCCCTAAAATTCGGCCCGGGCAGAGGCAGAATTTCGGGACAGCGCAGCACTTTAGAGACATCCCAGAATCCTAGAGTGTTGTACTGTCCCCCAACTGTAACTAGGTACACAGCACAACACTTTTGAGGTCCCAGAGTTCCAAAGTGCTGCAGTGCCTCTGAGATTTGGGCCTGGGAGAGGCAAGATTCAGTGAAGTACAACAGTTTGAATCCATAGTCTGTTGTTCCAACGAGTTCTCTACATAGTAGAGCTGAGAAGTATCACAAACGTGCGTTGCATCGTGGTGCAGATGCCATGAGTCTAATCCTCTGGCCGGAACAGTGAATGCTGCAGCAAAGACTGTTGGATGTGGATGATCTAGCTACGAACAAGAGTGCGACGTCCAAAACAAACGCGTGGAGCAGAACTCAAACGCGAATTGTGTCCTCGTAGTTACACGTTGATAAGTTACCGCAGGGATTTTCGGAAGCCTGGGTTGTGATGGATTGATTGAAATGAAAAGTCAAGCCTGCGAAAACGACTTTCAGGAACCATGCAGCCTTGAAACTTAATTAGGGCGTCTCAGGCTTTCTCAACATGGCTCCTGAATGTCATTCTCAAAGGCATTTATGCACAGTCTTGACTCTTGCTGGCAGGCATGCCATCAGAGCCTATTTTTCCTTCCATGTAACCCTGGCTTGACTTTTTGCTGGCAGGCGTAGGCTCAGAGTCCATTTTGCCAAAGTTGGCGGCACCAGAACGAAATCAGCCCTCGCCCCGACCTCCCACACCCCTTTCCAAAGTAAAGTCCTGTCCTTGAAGCGCCTAGACTCCAATGAGAAAGCCTCCAAACCGGAAAACTGCAAAAAAGTGCACAGAAACTCAGGTGTGTGTGTGGAGTTAGGGACAGAAACCACGGATTTGGACCGCTCACGGTTGGAGAGTGTACATGGTCTCGGCGCAAAACAAAATGGAGAAATCGTTTCGTGTCAAGAAATGAAGGATCAAAGCAACAACGGACTTGTCCATTCTGTTGCGACCGCTTTGCTTGCAAAACTGGATGGCGCACGGTTCGTACATTCAGAATGTAGTGCAAGTAGCTTGCTTCGCTTCCAAGTGCCTGCTTCTTCTTATGATGAGGTGCGCGCGCTTTTTTGCTGTACCGGAAACCGGGGAGCTCGCAGCTTTGCCAATGAGAAATAGTGGGGCTCTGTTAAAACTCTGTATGGTGACTGAATGCAGGAGCTTTCTTACTTCCTGTTCAACGGCAGACAATGGGGAGCTCTCTGATATCTGGATACATCATATCTCGCTCTGAAGGATAATTGCAAAACAGAGCTCCTGCGGACAGCGGAGAACTCCCCACAACCAGGGAGCTGTGACTTCGGCAAAAGGAGCTTTCTATCTCACGGTCAAATCAAGGCAGCTCTTTTCTCTGGGCCAGAATCTTGTAAGCAGGACCAAGGAAGCTCCGGGGTGACAGATAAAGTCCTTTGAACACACTGATCAGCTATGGGTCAACTTTCCTAGGCTCGCTGTATGCCTTTTGTCCGGAAAGCGAACAAGTTCCTTTTTGCAAACGAAGCGGTGCAGCAGGTTCTTGTTTCAGTGACGAATTTGAATACATGTGGGAGTTTTTTGGCACTCGCGCTCGACGAGGTCGGTGCGAGAGTTAGTGTATGTTTGGCTCCCGCTTGGCATCATCCGCAGATTCTGCAGTATGTGCACATAGATATATATATATATATATATATATATTCATACACATATATGTGTGTGTGCATGCATGTAACTGAAAAACATATATAGATAGATAGACGGCGTCGCTCGCACATGATTCCTGGGTGGTGTCCATTGGATCACAAGACTCTCACGACCCCGCCTGCGGCATGCCCCCCCCAAAGTGCAAGGCTTTGTGGGGGCACATTGCTCTCTAGAGTCTAGAGGCTTGCATCCATACACCCGGGCGAATATTGAGCAAGACTTAATTCAATTCAAGCACCCTAAATATCCAAAATTAGTGTTCTATCTCGTGCAAAATCTACTTTTGCAGACATGCACCAACCCCCTTTGAAACCACACGCCATCCCTTGCCGTGTGGAGACGGCCGACGAATCTGGACTCCCGCATCGTGCGACCTCACACCCTGGGGTGTACAGCTGAAACAGATGCTACATACCAGTTCCACATGAGCTGTGTGATTCCTTAAAACATCCGGTTGTCCTCGAAGGCCATTGGCACATCACCCTGTGAAATGAACCTGGCCGAGCGGAGATGCTGACTTGAAGCCGCTGGTTCAGCAGTTTCAGTGCTAGCTGGTTTGCGAGGCTTGCAGCTGAAATCCCGCGTCCGTGGACAAATCTTTGAATCAGTGCCAAGAAGCTGCTCTAAATCCTCGAGGTGCCTGTGATGCCTGCCAGAAAGGCTTCTCTCTGCGTGCCGGCTGGCTACCGTGCACAGCCATCCAAGTGAGCCACAATCACAATCCCGGCCACCTGTCGCGGTCTTCCTTCCCTTGAAGCCATTTTTGAACTCGCACAGCAAAGACGTCACCATATGCGACTGACAGTTCCTGTAGTGCCTGGCACGACCGAAACATCAGACCACTCTACTCGCGCTGAAGCGTTCTCGACCACCCCACCGCCTCGGAGACCGTCTGTGACGAAACTTCGTCGTGCTCCTGCGAAGAAGCTCGTAACAATTGCACTAGGTTCCTCAGACCTAACCTCAAGGACCTCGCTCTCCGAAGCACAGCCGATGCCACAGAAACTTCGCCTCTGGCCCTGAAGAAGTGGATGACATCTCTTCGAAGTCTGTCGACGTAGACCTCTCAGAAAACGTCGACTTCATCACCTCAACAGGCTCAACAAGTACCAGCCGTGTCAATGACTGCCCTCACAAGCCGTCTCCCCTCCCGCTTTGTCGCTGCTGAGCGACGGCATCCTCCACAAGCTCCTGACATATGGGCTCATATGGGCCGCGTGCTTTCTGTGCTGTTTATCTGTCGAAACAGCTTCTTTTCCGCCCGCAATCTGCTATCTCTCCCATTTCTTGCCCGTCTTGCAGCGCGGTCCTCCCGCGAAAGGTTGCTCCGGCGCCACCAGCAAGGTCCATGCAGTATGCTTGGTGCTGCCTGGGCTACCCGCTGCCACTACCATGCAGAAGTCCCTCATGTCTCAGATGGACCAGCTTCGAGCAGTCGATCTTCAACTTTGCAACTTCTTTAAATCCTCAAGACATTGCAGCCTGGCGGCAGTCGTTTTAAACGGCGAATGCCACTGAGTGACAAGGGCAGCGCGTCTCAATTGCTCCATCTGGCAGCCATGTGCTTACTGCCGACTAAGTCCAGGTCATGCATGTGACACGAGTGATGACGAACGAAGATGCCTGGTCTCTCGCCCCGCCTCAGCGTCCAAGGCCTTGCAGCTCAAATGTCCTGGTGCTGCGCCTTCAAACCGCCGCACGAAGTCTTGCACGCAGCGGTGCGGAACCTTGTCTGTCTGCGTAGATCAACTGCTGCATACTTTCTTTTTTAGGTCATGCGGGCTCGTTTAAGCATGCACTTCAATACCCCAGTGTCAAGAGGAATACAAAGCCGCGCCAGCGAACCGAATGGCATGAGGCCTCACGCTTCCCTGTACCTCTGCCATCACACCGCCACGCAACAGGAGCACGGGCTGCAGCAATCATTCTTGCTCAGTCTGTACTGGCAAGGAAACGTCCTATGCGTTTGATCCACAAATGCCGCCCACAAGCACACACACGCGTACTTCCTCTTTCTCATCTTTCCAAGTCATGACAGGAATTCGTTTGAAAGGTCACCAAGGCCCAGTGTTCGTTGGGTTTGCCGAATGTGCAGTGATGCAGTTGCACCGTGCGCCTGGACGAAAACCCGTCCTGTCACCTCATGTTCGGGATGGCTGAAACAATTCAAGCGATCAAGACAACAGACACTGCAAGCATGCTGCGGCCGACAAGAGCAGATCCAAAGTCTCAGAACTTTCACGAAATCCTCTTTTGTTTGCATGCATGCGCATTCCAGCAAAGCACTTTTGTGCTTGCACCTCGTGTCGGCTGCGCACTCATTCGCGAAGGGCGGCATGAGTGCCACGCTCATCTACACGTCACTATCAAGAGGCAAAGCCTACTGCATCGTAAGCACTGATGCCGCCCCTTTGCGTGGGCCTCGTCAGAAGATAGCTCTTGAAGCTGCACGGAACCTGTCCAGGAGACTCAACCAACACCTAAAGCCGAGCATCCTTACAATTTGCGATGTCTTCAACGTTGAGGCAGCTCCTCCGCACCCGGTCTCGGAAGCTGATGCGAGCCTCATGCATCCTGCTCTTCTTGCTCAGTCTGCAGCTCTTTCAGCTGCTGCGTCAGACTGGCAACCTGAAATTTTGGCTGCATCTTTGCACACTGCTTGGAGGTAGAAATGGGCTGCAGAGTGGCATGCCCGAGACAGGTGCCTTGGCTTCAAGTTCAGCATTCTGTCGCCTGAGTTCGTCGTTGTCTGCACGGAGCTCTTCCACATCCACACCTGCGGTTCTCTCTCTCGCGCTCTCGCTGTAGGCATCCTAATGGTCCCATAGCGCGAGGCAGCATGCAATGCCACACCTCCATCATCCCAAGCCAATTTGCAACCAATCGCCGAAACATCTGTCCATGCGAGTGTCTATGGGAACACATTACTGCCGGGCCTGTCGGGGCTCCCAAGTACTTTTTGATGTAGTCGATGGCCTTGGCACATGAGCACTACCCACTGGGCCAGTCATGATGGCAACGTGCAAAGGTCAGCTCTTGCCAAGCTGCATTTGCTGGTCTCTCAGGTTCCTCGTAGAGGCCGACCAGAACTCGTGTAAGCTGGGAGATGATGCCATTCTTCCTGAGTTCGTCGAGGCTTGTCTGTAACTGTAACGGACTGAGGCAGATCCATTCTCTGCTAGACATAACCGCACCATGGATATGTAGAAAAACGACAAGAGACGAACGACAAGAAGACCGGACTCGGGATCGAATTTCAATGAACACTGACATCCTGTAGTGCAATAACCTCCAGCACTAGTCACTTGGTCTAAGTCAGTCAGAGCTGCTCCAGGTACTTCCGGAATTCTTCCTTTTGCGAATCAGCTGTCTCGTAGCTCATGGCTTTCAAGCTAGTCCGACAAGTCCCTTTTGCGTAGCTTCCAGTCCCGCGCGCAGTGCATACAGCTTGGGCCATGACACAGATGAACAGACTGAGCACAGCATGACATGCATAAACAAAGAGCATGGCACGAAGGCAGGAACCTCTTGCGAAGGTAGCCGTAGCTCCAGGTCCTAGGCATTCATGCATGGCTCAGAGAAGCACTCATCCCGACGCACTCAGCACCGCACCATCACAGGACCAGTCAGCGATCCACCAGATTTGGAAGCACAAAGCGATTCTGAAGCCCTGCGTGCACAACGCCGCCCAACAGTTCATATCACGTTATGCACTCATATGACTCATGCGGCACAAGGTTCTGGAAAATCTCTAGAGCTCTCTAGGTTGCAGGCGTAGGGTCGCCCAGCAACGCTTCTACCGACACCTGCGCAGCGCCTGGCACGTTGGTATCCAGGCGACGTGTGTAGCACACAGCAGACACAGCATGTCTTGAAGTGGAGGGAGGGCTTGTGTGCTTTCCCAGCCCCGGCTGCAAGGTATGCCATGGCCGCCGCAGAACGTCGGGCGTCCGATCACGTTGCCTTCCATGACCTGAACTGAATCGCACGATCGCTTCTGCCGCAAGCCGTAAATGCATGGACGGTGCCCACCTGGAACTCCACAGAGGCTGCTGAGCCCATTTTGAAAGGCTGCCCTCGGCAAGTATGATCCTCAGGAAAAGGCTGGTAGCCTGGAGTTATCCGACTCTAAGCAGGCAAATGGAGACTTAGGGCTCACCCAGTGTGGATGCATGTCAGCATTCCAGTCTGTGCGTGTCCGGGAAATCTCTTTCCTGGCCTTGACACCGAGACATTGCCGCAGTACAGTAAACTGCCTCACGATCTGAGAAGCAAGCTCCATCGCTCTCGATGAAAGATACGACGGTAAAGGGGTCCATCTTGCCATAAGCATCCTGGGCACCCTTAAATTTTAAAGCAATCCCTTCTTCGCTTGGGTCTGTCTAAGAGCGTAGACTTCAAGCTGCCTTGGGTGGCCCATCGAAGCCTCTCCCTTCATTCCCTTTCCCTGGCTCTGCTCTTTTTCCGTTGGAAGCGCCCTCTGGTACCGCTGACTTCCTCGACCAGCGAAGGGCTTGCCTTGCATGCTGGCTGCGGTGATAGCTGGTGGGATGCGACACGACCAACATCATATCCAAAAAAGGCTTGGAAACGCCCACTTGCACTGTGGTTGCCTTAATTAATTGCCAGAAACACAAGACAAGACGTGCCTATCTTTACCAGACACAGAAGTGTCAAGCGCGGGCGACGGAAAGACGAAGGTACCAGGGCGGGTGCCAATCGTTTGAAGATAGCGATGACGATCGCGGTTCCAACCTCTGCTGCTGGGCTCAAATCAGGCTAGGAACCAATGACATGGACGCGCTGTTTACGCACAGTATCCAGGAAGGTACATCTCGAAACAGCCATCAGAAAATTAGATGACGATAGGCGCTGCAATGCTGTGGCAAACACCCATGAAGTACTCAGGCAACGGCAGGGGTCAAAGGCGCGACGATGATGAGGCCAATCGGAACGAACAGAAGAATGTCCTTCGCCGTGCGGCGCAGGACGTCGCACTCAACCTTGGAGAAGCCCAGAAACTTGCGTCGCTTGCTTTCCTTGTTCTGCAGGCTCTGCAACAAAGCTCCTGAATATGCGACATCCTGACTTATCATGGACACGCTGTCCACGACCTCCCGTACTTCCTTGCGCGCGATCGCAGCAGCGTAGCGGCAAATGGGCCCGATCGCAAATGCGGGATTTGGCAGCTCTTCCTCCAAGCGCGTAGAGGTGCTGTAAGCAGTGAGTGTTTGCACGAACTCGACGAACTCGGGCTTGGTGACAGCACCATCTCTGTCGGAAGCTATCTGAAGGACGAGCCCGAATGCATCCAAGAAAGGCTCGCTGCTTTTGCGACTGACCTCTTCCCAGAGTGGCCAAAGAATGGAAAACACTTCTCCATACGTCAGCGTACCACTACCTTCGTCAAATTCCTGAAAAAGCTTCTCAGGTTCTCCTTGCAGCTTCTTCAGAGTGAGCTCCTTCTGCTCCGAGTTGAAAGCACCTCCCTTTCCGAGCTGTCGCTGTCGGTCTTCTAACCGCTGCCAGCCCAGGTAGGCTCGCCTCCGCTGTTTGGCCGCAATGGCTGCCCAAGCGCGGGCAAACCTTCGCCGCGGCTTTCTTAATGACGTAGGGAAAAGCGAATAGGGGGCGTTTGAATAAAGCAACATGCCCATGAGGATCTTCTGCCCATAAGTGCACCTGGTCAGAGCGATGGCACAGTACGGCAAGCACGCAGACAAGTCTTTGAAAGTCCGCTTTAATATCGCACCCTCCATGTTGGAGAGCTTGTGTCTGAACGCACGCTTCTTCAGCAGATGCACGCCATACCGCAGGTCGCGTAGTAGTGTAAACGCGCTGTCAGAGACATCGCGGGCGAATCTTGTCACCTTGTTGTCGTCACGAAGAGCGCTGGCCTTGTAGTTGTTGGCAACTTCAACCAGCGTTTCGATGTATTCGGTGAATTCGCCTAAAGTGAGGCAACCTTCACGGCGGCGGTCTACAGCAACCAGAAGCGTCGACCTGCGCAACAGGCACCCCCAATGATTGTAAGAATGGTCTATGCAAACATCTTACCCGAGTTGTATCACACTACCAGAGATCAAAGCTCGAGAGACGATGTGACACCAAAAGCGATCGCACATTGCTCTTCATTCGCAGCATTCGACCCGTCTCTAAGTGTCAGGCGCATCCATGCGAAAATCCTCCATGTTCTTCGTCGCAAGGTTCAGTTGTCCGCTCCATATAGCTTGCACAATGCTCAGCACACTGCCTAGCAAAGTCCAATCATCTGTGACCACAACACTGCTTCTGAGCTTGTTGGCTGCCTAAGCCCGGGGCTGTGCGAGACATTGCCACTTGCACATGAATCCAGATCCTGGCACAGCTCGCGCTTCCGAGAGCTTTGGTTCTCTTCTGCCCCGGCTTGCTGCATTCCCCGGCGCGGGCAAGACGAGGCTTGGCACTTCGCAAGCTCTATCTCATTTGCATGATGCAAATAGTGGCAAATAACAGAGCAACATAGTCCAAGCAACCTTTCAAAGGCGGCAGCTTATAAACCTGCATGCCTCGAAGAGCTTTCGAATGCCCGATTGCGCCGCTGCAGAATCTGGTGCAGCTTCGAAGACCTCCAGGACCGCCGCGTCCAGCTCCTTCCAAGTAATTGCACTCTGAATCTTTTCCTGCTTTGTTCTTGTGTTCACTTGCGTTCTGCCGACCCGGCCTCAGAGGGCTCCTCACCGTACAGCGTCCAGTCCTGGAGCAAATTCACAGTGAAAAGTTTCAGGAGCGGTTCCCGCGCTCCTTGAAGTCTGGGTGCCGGCGCAACTCACGCCTCGCACTCAGGAAGTGGAGCCTCGAAGGGTAGAACGGGGACGGGAGAAGCGCCGGGGCCGACGACTTGATCACCAGAAAGAGGCAAACCTCGGTCCAGGAACACGCTCTGAGTCTATCAGACTCTCTCACAGAAGCCAGGTCAAGTTCTTCTTGAGAGCCCAATCAAACCTTCCAACCTTTCAGACCCCTTTCTCATCACACTAACTTGCTAACTTGCTGAACAGTGCGAACATGAAGCCAAAGACGGTCAAACTTCGGTGAGCCGGGCAAGCGAAATCCAGAGCACGAACCGTCTGTTCAATTCACATCCTGCAATCAGCAGGGTCTGGCATTGACGCCTAGAACCTGTGATGTACCCAATTTGTCTGTTGGAAGCTTATCCTTGGAGTGCAGCTCTGCAACGTGCACCGGCAACGGCAAGGGTAGAGCGCAGATCGCCGTGGAAGGAACCAGAGCGATGACATCACTGAAGAAACGCCGGAGCAAGTAATTCTCCCACTCATGTAGTTCTCGTCCCTGGCAGACTTTGGCCAGGAGACCGCAGCTGAACCTTCACAAGGGGCTGCCCAAACAGCTGTCGCAGAATGCATGCACCATGCGTTGCCAGGATGTGCGTTGCAAGGGTATGAGATATAGTTGATATACGCACATGCACACTTGCTATGCTCCATCGTAAATGTCTTGAAGCTCGTGCGCGAAAAGCCTTGAAACTCTCAAACAAGGCAATCAACTGCGCGAATGCGCCTTACATCTCTGCTCAGCATGTCAATGCTGTCCGACACTTCCAGCAGTGCCTGCCCGACTTTGCCTTAGCTTGAAAGCCCTCCAAAAAAACATGAGTACGCAAACCTAGCAACTGGGCTCGTGAGGTACCGTAGAAACAGCATGGTACTAAGCTGCCTTCAAGAAGCTGAGCGCACTGAGAAGAAACGGCAGTGTAAGTTGCCATGTCGGCCGCTGTACCCACCGGTTCACTGCACCACCCGCCTTGCCCACGGGGTCAAAGGAATAGTTCGTCAAGTTTTGGAAAAAGCCGTTCACAATACCATAGCTTCGGCGAAGGGCCACCTGCCAGTAGTGTGGTCGGGAGTGGGAGGGGACTTAATGGCGGCCTTTCGCAGGGAGACACCCAGGCACCTCAACATGCCACGCATGCACATCCCGCTTGGACACCTTGATCACCGTTGCAGCGTATTCTATGAATTCGTTGACTGACAGCATGCCATCCCTGTCACGGTCTGACAGGATAACGAAAGCCGCGAGGTTGTTGTGCAACTCCATCTGCGTCTGCGATGGGAGTTTCAGCGGACCTTCCCATAAAGTCTGCCTCAGTGACCGTTCAGTCCATTCGCACTCGGCGTGACAGATTTGCTTGAATGTCCCTAAATGTGCCTAACCTATGCTCCCATAAAGCTTCGGGCGGCATAAATTTGAGAATCCTTGCATAGCTCAGGCCCAGGGTGGCGTTGTCACTCAGCCGATCGAAGAGGGCAGCTGCCTGGGAGCGCGCTGCTGAATAGAGCGGCGCCTCTTCAAGGATTTCCAGAAGTGATGCATTGGCCCTAAGCTCCCCCTCCCCGTGCTCTGCATCTTCGCTCTCCGGGGAGGCCGTAAGCTCGGAGGCATTCGCAAGCAAAGGCTGCAAGGGTTCGCGTTGACTGGACATCGACTCTGCAGCCTTTGACTGCGCCCTCCGGGATCGTCGCTCCGTTCGGCCATCCATTGGTGCTGTGAAATTGCACGCATGATGGAGCAGAAACGCGACGACGAAGAAAAGGAGAACATGGCTCAGGGGGCGATGCAAGCGCTTTCTCATCACCAAGCACCCAAATCAAACCCGAGTCAACTCTGTCCTGTCTGTGCAGGAGCTGCAGTCTTTGGTTTCGATGGCTTTCTAGTCTTGTGTTGGCCAAGCGTCTAGTTTGGCAAGTGTCCGGGTGCGCAGTGGCTTAGATCATGTCTCGGCCCGGCTATGCAGCCGTGCGATCTTGGTGCCGATGGGTCATGAACTTCTTAGATTTGAGCAAGCCGGAAGCATTGGCTGGGGATGGCAACGTGAATCACAAGCTTCTGCCCAACGCTGCAGGAAATTGCTCGGCCGGCGGCAAAGCTTCTAGCCAGCTCTGCGCGAAGAACCCTCACCACAGCATAGGTTTCCAATGCCTTACAGCCAAGCGCAGCAGCTACGCTGGAGCTAAAGTCAGGCTTCATTGCCAGTTGTGGTGTTGCGGCTCCTCGGCATGTGCAAGTGCTACCATGTCCGTGAGTTGGTATTTTCCGTTTGCGTGGGCGCTACAGTGCACTTTGGCGAAGCGTCGCGTGATGTGAGCGTACCTTCTGGTTTGGCGGTCACAGGCAGCTCCACGAACAGGGGAGGGATGCTGCAGAAGGCCTGCCAGCAAGAGCACCGCCATCAGCGTCAGGTGTGGCCTTCTCAGTGGTACTTCGCATGGTGTCTGCCTGATACAAAGGATCGCTTTCATCTCCACTGGTCGGCATGCTTTCCTAGGTGCTTCCTGCACGTGACGGTCAAAAGACTGTCGACGTGGTCGCAGCAAGACTTAAGGACCCAAAAGAACGTCAAGGACTTTGGCATCTTTGCGGAAGTGCTGCTGCTCCATCTTGGGTGGACCGAACATCATCGAACAAGGTTCAATGCAACTTTCAGACCCCCTTCATGGGCTCGCTGTGCATACCGGGTATACCAGGTACTTTGGCTACCTTGGCCCAGGCAATACCTTGCACTGTGTGGAGAGTGATCGTCGAAGTGTCCTTGGATTCGATCTGCAATAAATCCGCGTAGACGTCTGCCCATTGCTTGTGCCTCTTAGAGCCGGGTTCAAAAAAGACCTTCTGACCGTCGTCACCCAGCCCCTGTGGTGGTTCAGTCGGTTCAGTATTCCCATCCACTGCAGGCGTCGACGCTTTGACGTCGAGGAGGAGCCGACGGCATCGACTTATCGACTGCATGGCCCGAGCAACTTCGCGCTCCAAGTCCGTCAAGGACTTTGTGCCAGCATAGCGTCTCTCAGCATCAAAGGCCGCCACTGTCGCCTCGACATATCGCACCAGAGCCTTTTGGAGACCTCTTGGGGTTGAAGATCGCTGCAGCGACCCTAGAACCTGCCGAGCATCTCGTGTCCGGCGCTCTGTCGCTCGAGCATGCTCAAGACTCGCATCTGCTTCCCGTCGCTGAACGAACGCTTGCAGCGCTCTTCGGTGCATTTTCTTGGCAGTGATGCGAAGCACGGCAGCTTGGGCTTGGAGCTGTAGGTCAGTCCTCTGCAATAACCTTTCCTCTTCGATTATTTCTGGATACGGAGCTGTCTTGTCTACTTTCTCCTCGGCCGAGCGAAGAAAGTTGCTTGCACTCTTCCAGTTCTGAGGGTTGGTGTCGCGGCCACGGCCTCCAAGCTGAGACGGTTGCGCTTGGTCGACAGTGACATCGGCTGCTCCTTCTCTCTGCACAGTACCCGAACCGCCGACATCTTGCGGTCGGTGCTCTTGAAGGTTGCTCGCCGCATCCAGGGTAGCACCTGTCTCTTCTGCACATGGGCCGTCAACCGTGGTAGTAACCTCTCGGCATTGTGAGTTGTCTGCTGAGTGAGCCTGGCTTTGCAGTTGATGCTCCCGGGCTGATCTCGACACATTCTCAAGGAAAGATGAAAAAAACTCTGTGCTGGTATCTGCACCATGCAACTCATGTTCTTCATTTGCTTCTTGCGAAGCCGAATCTGAGGTTTCTGCGGTGGCATTCAGGATCGCATGGAGATGTTGTTGAAGGGCATGCGAGTTGTCGCTTTTCTTCTGCATCCGAACCGCTACAGCTGCGCGTGCACCATAAGCTCTCCCCGTGTCCGGCTTCGGCAACATGCCTTGGGAAGATTTTGTATCTGCCACGCGATGCAACGATGCCTGATGTGATTCGCTTGGAGAAGGCAGATCTTGCATCCTGGATTGCAGTCCTTGGTCCGCTGTTTCGTGCTCGATATCAGGGCTGCCGGCCACAGCAGATGTCGCCGCTGCCAAATGCGCACCAGCAGCAAGAAATAGCTCCAAATGGTCTCGGAAGCTATCGCTCCTTTCCAGTTTGGGCGGCGTCGAGTCTGGTGGACTATCCATTGCTGGATCTGGTAGAATCTGATGCTTCAAGGCTTTGCTGCATGGCAGTCCATCTTCAACTAGTTCCAAGCTGGCCATGCATTCAGCACAGCGGCATCCAAGGCCATACCTCTCCGAGCCTCTTGCCCAGGTCACGACCTGCGAGGTATTACTCAAGGATTCAGACATCCTGTGCTGAGTGCTGTAAATGCCAAGCACGGCAAGCTTGCGCTGAAGGCTCGCTGCTCGAATGGCCGATGTCTTTTCTGCTCGCTCCAACTCGCCGCTGAGCACCGTGAACTTCTTGCCGCAGTTGGATTCAATGAAGGTGTGCCTCAGCTCTCCAAAACCACAGGAAGTCTGGAGCCCTGTCGGCTTCTCGCTGCAACTCGGGTGCAAGTGGTGTGCCAGTTGAGTTGCACGATTCGCGCGTCCGAGGGCCCCCAGTGCATCATGTGCATCTTGCAGATCCTGCGGCTCCCAGCCGCTGCCAGAGCCCATGGCCATGCAAGCGCAAAGAGCCAAGACAAACCGTCTCTATCCTTGCCAGAGTCACAAGCCGACAAACGGCTTTGCAGTTCAGCTCCAAAGGCTGGATGCAATTAATTTGCCAACGACTCCGCACATCAAAAAACTTGCTAGAGTATGCCTACTTTCTCGGCTCCCTGCTGTCTCTGCTGCACATTCGCGAGCCTGGTTCAGACGGGCAGAGTGGCAGTGTGTCGGCAAGGCTTCCGGCCACCTCAATCTTTGAGGAGGGTCTTCGCAACAAATTCGGATGGGCGCCTGGGAGGGCAGCGCCAAAACACGCACGCGCACGAAAGCTGCAGCAAAGGTACAAATCACTGTTCCCTTGCATCACCTGTTGTAGGCCCCGGTGGTGGCGGAGGGGCGTGGGTGCAGCCCATGACCTGTTCATCAAGAATCGTGCGCTCATTTTGTGGGTTTCTCAACTGCCCCAGCTTGCCTGTTCACAGCTTCCGCCTGGCGCCCGGCGCCGGACAAGAAGCCCACGTCTGAGCTGCGGAGAAATACCAGTAGCCTACGTAGCTCTCTTGCCAGCTCTTCGTTCTCGTGTGCCGCAGACTGCCTAAGGGAGAATTATTTTTGTTTTTGTTTGCATTTTCTTTTTTTTTTTGGCCTGCAGGGCGTGGGTTGGGTGGGGTGCAGGGGGGTGCGGGGCCTGCAGGGAGCTCGCGAGGCGTGGGGGCGGCGGCGGGGGTGGGGGGGAGGGCTCGAGGCCCAAGTCTTTGCGAACAAGTGGGCTTGTCGAAGCAATATACAGGACTGTATTGACATGACTTAGATTAGATTTGATGTGATCTGTCTTACAAGGATTGTACTATTCTGTCTTATATTGATATTAACTCAATATGATATGTATATTGAAGTCAAACAAACTCTTACATCAATAGTCAATGCCCGGTTTGGTTACACTGCAAAAATATGTTACAAGTGACTCTAGCGTTATAAAACAAGACTCGTATTGCTATATGATTATATGAATACTACATCAACAATCTGCAGAACTTGGCTGAGATGTTAATAGACAACTACTCTTACTTACGGCCATTATTTTACATTAAGAATGTTAATATTCGTTTCTATTTTGCGATGGTACAGAATAGTATACTACACCATAAAGCCTTACCGCATGTTATAATATACACCATATTCACTATATCCTGTTCGATAAATATTTTAATCAATATTGTATGTAACATAATACAACATAATGTAGTTATCCTCTAGTATATATACAGGTAGTTTTGTGTGTATACTATATATATATGTGTATATATACGCTATATTCTAGTAATCCAATAGAACAATGTATTATATCATAGTACTACCAAACAGAATAGAACACAACATGATATGGTGTAGATTGATTACAATATGCGGTACGACTTTATCGTATAATGTGTAAAATAATAGCCGCAAGTAAGGGTAGTTGTCTATTGACATCTTAGCCAAGTTCTGCAGATTGTTGATGTAGTATTCATTCAATCATATAGCAATACGAGTCTTTTTATATAACGTTAGACTGTGACATATTTTTTGCCGTATAGCCAAAACGGGCATTCACTATTGATGTAAGATTTTGTTTTACCTGACTATACATATCATATTAATATCAATATAAGACAGAATAGTACAAT